CCACTGACATCCAGCACCCTCACCAGAGGCGCAAGTCAATGGGGCCACCTGATCTTGAACATAAACCTTCAAAAGTGTAAGTTGGGTGATCTATTTCTCCTTATTAAGTTAGTTTCCCTGGGTATTTCACTGTAGAAATGCAAAGCAGATTAATACAGGTCTAAACCCCTCTTGAAATGAAAAGAACAGCATCTCAATAGCTATTTCCAAGTAGACATGATCTGGTAAGTCACAAGGTAATTAACTGACCAGTCTACTGGTATAGGTATGTTTTTAAAAGTAAGAAAACATCACAGGATAGTAAGTCTAAAAAGGAGAAAAATTAAGAATTCAAATTTGTTTGTTCAACTAACTTTTCTTAAATACATCACCTGTGTACCAAAGAGTGCTTAGCACCCATGAACATTAAGTATAAAGCATCATTGTGTATAAAACAGACTTGAAGAGTAATAGAAGATCACTGAGAGACTATGGGAAGAATGACTAGGTGGGTGGCATGCTGGAGCCATGTCTCAAAAGATGTGCAAAGGAATAACCACCCTGGCAATGCAACTTACGGACTGGTCTTGAGCAATACAGATCACAGACTTAGAAACCTGGAAGGCTGACTGACTGCTGGAGTATAAAATGAAAGAATTAAAAATTTCCAAATCCATTTTGTTATGGCTTGCAGGAAGGAAGAGCATTCATCTTTCTGGGAGCTGCCTATGAATACATGGAATCATATATTTTGCTTTCTTAACCATGGATCTATCTAAAACAACACTTCACACTTCACAAAGATGACACATAGCACCCATGACAGCCACTGAATGAACAGAGATTCTGATCATAGGGAAGCATTTACCGTCCCACGCCTGTGATGTCACCTTCACTGTGAAAACCAAAGACAGGTGCCTTGATCTGTGCCTACAGTATAATCAAGAACAAGAACCTCTTATTCTTTTATGTCAGGTAATATAATCTCATATCCCAATATAGGAAATTTGTTTTATACACTAAACACAAGAAGCCAATTTGGTTCTTTAAAATCCAGCCCTACAGTGTCAGATCATGCTAACATTGCCATTTGCTGAACATCTACCCCACAAAAAGCCATGATGTTTGATTATGTATGTGAAGACCACTGATTACTATACCTCTAATCACCTTTCCCCATGCCTTGGACAGACCATGCTGCTTCTTTATCCCATAAATATCCACAGCTCTACCCTTAGAGGAGTGGATTTGAGAATTGAGTCACAATATCTTTGCACAGCTGTCTGGTGAATAAACTCCTTTCTATTTGCAAAACTTGTATCAGGGATTAGAATATTATGCAGAAAGCAAAATGGGCCTCATTCAATAACATCATTTAACTATGCAGCAAAAGTTTAATCTCCTTTATGGCTCATGTTTATGAACAATGAATTTTTAGGTTAGTAAAACACTTTTAATTTATAAAAACATTTTATATTTCAGAAAGATTTCTATTAGAAAATAAAGATTTCCATTAGAAAACAAACTTAGGGGCTGAGGGTTTAGCTCAGCAGCATAAGCGCCGCCTTGAAAGCAGGTAGTCGTCAGTTTGATCCCTGGTACTGATAAAAAGGAAAAAGACAAAAAAAAAAAAAACCAGAAAGAAAAACAAACTTAATGTCCTGATTTCTACTGTTTAAACTTTGAATTTTCAAGAAAGAACTTTCATTTACACAAGACCTTTACTGTGTCACTCTTCACAGGCCAAATAAAAATGAGGTGGAATGGTAATGCCTTCCAGTATTTTCTACCACAGCATAGACACATTAAAGGGAAGTAGACAACCACAAAGATAATATGAAAAAATAATCCTTTGCATGCAATTAAATGAGGCAACACTGATAGCTCAGAAAACAGTATCAGTAATCTGTCACATTAACCTCTCTTTACTAGAGTAAGATATATGAGCAAAAAGCAAGTAATAAAGTTATAGACAAATATAATTAATAATATATTTTTACAAAAACTAAACACCTTTCTAAAACTTATGAAGAATTTATTTCTCAACAGATACACATCTGCAGGTAGTCACCAAGAGCACAATATTAAAATTAAAAAGCTACTTTTTGGAATATTCTTTGGAAATATGCTTAAGTGATGATCCAATATTTTTGGAAAAAACATGAAAACACACCTCTCCTTCTATCAGACGTGCAGAGGCCAGTACAGCAAGCAAATGCTATGCCCAGTACTTTGCATGTTTTGTTTCATTTAATCACCACAGCAGCCTAAGCAAACAAGAACCATTACTCCTGCTATATAGATGAGGGAACTAGTGGCAAGGGGAAATGTGGGCCCAAGCCATTTGATCAGTGACTGGCACAGCTATAATTCAACCTCACAACTGCGACTCAGTCTCAGTTTCTTTTCACAAATGAGCGTGCCTCAACCAGTCACATTCTCAATACTAGTTTATTTAGGATATTTATGATAACCAATGAGGTAAGAAAGATCCATGGTTTTTGGAACATTGGGATTCTTCAGAACACAAAACTATCTAGAGTGGTACAACCAAGGTGAGAGGCTGCTCACTTCCTCCACCATTTTGTGCTAATTTAAAATCTATCTACTGCAATGAAAATTAATGACTGCTCCTCAGGATATAAAATCAATACATAAAACAAATAATTTTTCTATACACCAAAAGTGAAGCAACTGACAAATAAATCAATGAAACAATTACATTCACAACATTTTTAAAAATATCTAGGAATCAACCTAACCAAGGAGGTGAAAGCCTTCTTTAAAAATCTCTATAGACAACTGAAGAAGACAGTAAAAGATGAATAGACCTCCCATGTCCTTGATTTTGTAGAATTAATACTGTTAAAATGGCCATTTTACAGAAAGTGATCTACAAATTCAATGCAATTCTTATCAAAATTACAATGACAATTTTCACAAAATTTATATGGGAACATAAAAAAACCCAGAATAGCTAAGACAGTCCTAAGCAAAAATAGCATGATATTTGTACAAAGATAGATACATGAATCAATGGAAAAGAACAGAGGATGCAAAAATAAACCAAACCAAACCAACCAAAACAAAACAAAACCAAAAAACCCCACCCTGCAATGGTTGTCTGATTTTTGACAAAAGAGCTAAAAACATAAAAAAGAGACTGCCTCTTTAACAAACAGTGCTAGGAAAACTGGGCTCCATATGTAGAAGAATGATGCTGGATCTCTCTCTTATCCTGTACATAAATCAATGCAAAATGGATCAGAAACCTAGCTATAAATCCTGAAACTTTGAAACTGCTATAGGAAAACAAGGGACACTTAAGGCCATAAGCACAGGCAATGACTTTCTGAACAGGACACATATAGCACAGGAAATAGCAGAAAGAATCAATAGACGGGACTACATCTAATTAAAAAGTTCCTGAACAATAAAGGAAACAACTAAGAGAATGAAAATGCAGCCTACAGAACGAAAGAAAATCTTTGCCAATTACTCTTCTAACAGAGTATTATTTAGAATATATAAAGAACACAAGAAACTAATACCAAAAAAAATCACATAGCCCCCAAAAAATAAATAGGTAAATGAACTGAATGGACTTCTCAAAATAAAAAGTACAAATGACAAATAAATATATGAAAAAATGTTCAACATCTTTAGCCATTAGGAAAATGCAACCCAAAACTATACTGAGATTCCATTGCACACCAAACAGAATGGCTACCATATAGAATACAAAAAATAGCCAATGCTGGTGAAGATTCAGGGAAAAGGAACCCTTCTACACTGCTGGTGGGTATGTAAATTAGTAGAGCCACTATGGAGATAAGTATGGATGTTCTTTAAGAAACTAAAAATGGAACTACTGTATGACCTTTGGTATACACCTGAAACAATTCAAGTCAGCATACCATAGGATACCTGCATATCTATGTCTATTGTGGCATACTTCACAATGGCCCAGATACGGAAAGGTGTCAATCAACAGATGAATGGATTAAAAAGTAATATATATATATATATATATATATATATGAGTATTATTTAGTGTAACGAATTAAGTCATTTGCAGAAAATGGAAGGAAATGTAAATCATCATGTTAAGCAAGATAAGCCAGACTCAGAAAGACAAGTATTATATATTTTCCCTAACATGTGGAAACTAAAAAAATGACATGAAGTAGAAAGGAGACTATCATTAGACAAGAGAAAGGAAGTAAGGGGTGGGATGTAAGGGAAGGTAAAGGGGAGACAGAAAAGAGCTATTAATATCTTTAAGATATCATGATGTTGACATAAATTTATTGAGGTAAAAGGCATCCACTACACTCCATTAAGTGAAATAGTGGTACAAAACAATTGGTACTGTCAATTTTTTTTATTTTTAAAAATAAAGAACATATAGAGATAACAAAAAGTCATCTAGAATGGTTTGCTTAACTATTTTAATCTATTTCTGGGAGTGAGATGCTGAGTACATTTTTCTTTTTGTAGAAGAGTATTATTTGGCTGGTGATATTATAAAATGTTTCTAAGTAGAGGAAATTAAGAATTGCTATGTGAAGTGATAGATATGTCAATTAGCTTAATTATAGTAATCATTTCATAACATACATAGATCTCAAAACATGTTGTGTATGCTAAATATATGATTTTATCTGTTATTTACACTCAAAAAAATATTTTACAAAGCAAATAAAAAAGACTGAAAGTGGCTCAGAAATATAAAGAAAAGAATAGAAATGATTAATATAAAAGTCCAGGGTGAAGTAGTAAAGTACAGCTGAGAAACAATTTGAGGTTGTTCTTTCATTCTTCCTGGTAAAAACATGGTTATTCGTTGTTATTATTTTATACATTTTTTTTCCATATACCCTTCCATATGTACTTCATTTCACAGTAAATTTTTTTTTAAATAAATTTCATAAAATCGGGAAAAAATTAAGGACTGCTTTGAAATTTTTAAGATTTAAATAAAAGCAATACCATAATGATAAAGGCAAAGATACAAATACCTGGGTCAGTAGCAGAAATAATTGCTCCAAAAAAGAGACAATCTGTGTAATAAAATTTATCAGAGAGCTGCCCCACAATCTTCATGAGCTTCACCACACCATACATGAGATTTCTGTAAAAAGGTAAAGTACATTATGTGTAGAAAAAATGTGCAAACATGCAAGAAGACAAGCTGCATGCTTTAAAAGACATTTATGAAAGCAATAGCTAATAAGCATGATCTTCAGTTAGCAACAAAATGAAGGCAGCTTAAGCAACTGGGTAATAGAGGAGAAGGAAAATGATAGAACCTGACATAATATGCAATAAATTGCTACAAAACTCATAGATTCTAAGATGCTATATCTATAGTCATACAAAGGAATGGGCTATACAAAGCTGGAAGGGAAAATGAGTTGATCACAAAGATTCAACCTGTTACTGTCTACTCTACCCAGAATTATTGCAAGGAATGGAAAAGAGGCAAAACTCTGTCCTATTAACATATCAGCATCCCTACTGACACAGCTGGCCATTTGCTCTACATGGGTCAGGTAGGCCAGCAGCAATCCTCTTTGTGTTGGGCAGAACATAGTCTAATGGGGACAGCAAAGTTCAATTTTTGAGCTCCACTGAATCCCTACATGATACCTAAATTGGGAATAGAAAGGAGTATTTTTAAAAGGCCTAGTATGTGAAAGAAAAGGTCTAATATGTGTTACAAGGGTGTGTGTGTGTGAGTGTGTGTGAGAGTGTGTGTGTGTGTGTGTGTGTGTGTGTGTAGTGATACAGCACCTGCAGGGGTTAAGGAAGTAAAAATAACCATGACTCACTGTATTCTACAGCTTTTACTGTAATAGTGAGATTTGTGATGGATGCTTAGAACAGCAGATGGGCCAAGCTAGAAGTGAAAAGATGTAGTACTTGCAAAATGGAATCTTCAAGAGAAGAAATAGTTACAACTTAGTGGTTGCCTAGTATGGTTAAGTACTGTTCCAAACACTTACCGTGTACTTAAATTTCAGTCCATATCCATGCAGTGGCACAAATTTGATTTGCCTTTTCTTGCTCACCAATGATTCTTTTATATACCTTTTAAACATTTCCTCAAACTAGATCCTTCTCTCTATTTCCCTCTACTACAATCTTAGACCTGGGTAATAGAGTTTTTTGGCAGCCTTTTCCTCATCTTGCTTCCTAGTCATTAATGCCAGTTACATAACCTGTGGTTCATCAATGGTTTGTCATTTCTTAAAGGATAAACTCCAAGCCCCTCCTTTCTTGAAAAAAAAAATAAAAGCCTCCTGCCTAGTTTCCACCTATTTTTTTAAAAAATTAACTAACATCCTTACTATACTCAGGAATAATGTCCATTTTCTGTTCCAAGATCCTATCCAGGTACCACATTTAGTCATCAAATCTCTCCAGTATCCTCTCGCTTGTGACACTTTCTTAGACATTGCCTATTGCTGATGACCTTGGCAGCTTTGAGGAATACTAGGCATGTATTTTGTCCTTCATTTGGAATTCATCTGAGTTTTTCTCATGGTTAGACTGAAGTGATATACTTTTGGGTGGAAGACCAGGGCACACACTATCAACATCATTTATCACTACCGATACTGATATCTTGATTACCTCATTCAACTAATATTTTCCAGATTTCTCCACTTAAAGGCTATTCTTTTCCCCCTCTTTTCTGTACCATACTCTTGAGAATAAGTCATTAGGCACAGCCCATCCTCAAAGCAAAGTTGGAGTGAGATATTAGAATGGGGAGACTAAGTTATGTTTCCTTGAAGGAATGCATCCATAAAAATTATTTAGAATTTGGCACAGGAAATATCTTCTCTCCCATTCATTTACTCATCCAATTATTTATTTTACTCTTTGGATGATAATGTAATACAAACATAATGTTATTAATTTTTCAGTTCTTTAGCTACTGGGGAGTATGGCCATTAAGGAACTTTAAGGTTGGCCCTTGTGTCCCTTTGACATCCTCTTCATCCTTGTGCTTGCATGTCTTTTGAGCACTTACTTTGTGGCATTAAAAAAAGAATTTTCATGTCTATTTCCTTTCCCCACCTTAGAATAAACCATTTCTGCAAGTGACTCTGGTTCCTTTTATTGGAGAATGCTAACAAAAGCCAGATCTGAGAACTGGAAGTAATTGTATTTCATTTTAATCTTCTATTTTTTCAAAAATTTATGTTTATTAGTACATATTTTTAGTACATAATGATTACATTCTTCATGGAAAATTGATACACATGCATACACATATTAATTTCCTTTTTACTTCCCCTTGCCTTCCCACCCCTCTCCTCCTCCATCTCTAAATTTCCTTCCCATTCATAGAAAATCTATCTTCCTATTTTGTATTATTTATCTTTTATTTTGCTCTTTCAGTTATTTGTACTTTGGGTATCTCCTGTAAGAGGAACTATATTATATTTGTGTTTATGTGTCTGATTCATTTTGGAATTCAGCTTAATTTTAATCTTAATTTTAATGTAATGGCTACATGTGGCTAACAACTACCATACAGGATAGCACAGCTCTCAACCCTAACTGCCATCATCTCAAACTCTAAATACTGGATTCTGTGCACCCATATGGATCTCATCCCTTTAGAAAGTGTTTTAATTTGATTATAAAAGAAAGATTACCTTACCCAATAATGAAACAAGAAACGGCAGTCCCCAAGAAGGCATAGGCCAGAATAGATCCAAGATTTCTGAAAAAGTGTCTCTGAATAAAACAAACAACAAAGAAAAATAGGAATTACACTGTGATTTTTGACAGCAAGCATAAAACACACATAAGTAATTATAATGAAAGTTACTCCTGATTAATGCCATTTAGCCTTAAATACCATGGTTTTAAAACATTCTCTGTGCTGCTACTCACTGATCAAGCAGGCAAGGGCTTGGTAAATTTTCAGAAAAAGCTACTGTGGTTGATATTAAATTAAACTGAGAAAGATGGGGTGAGGAGGGCAAGGAGAGAGGGTAGGAGAATGAAGGAGGGAGGGAGAGGGAGAGAAACAGAGCACTAAGCACTCTAAAAAGCTAATTATATTGATAGATTTAACCCAAATCATTTTTTACTCTATAACCCAGCTAGTCACTTCCAGCTCTGGTGGTATTTTCAGAGAACATTATAGATAGAAGTGAGAAATTCTCATCCAAGGAGATTTCTGTTTGACTTGATTTGACAGCAGAAAATAGAGCCCTAAATATCTGCTCATGGGGTTTGAACTTTCCTTTTATTAGTCTGGATTAATCTTTGGAGCCTGGGAAACAGGAACAATAGAGGTGGAAGAGAAATGAGAATAGGTAGTTTCATTTAAGATGGACATGTTTATATAGAAAGAAACTCATACCAATATAAAATCTAGCTATTACTCAGAAACAGGAGGCAAAACTATAATCTTTTCAGTATTTCTGCACATTGGTTATCTTAAAAATATAAACACACACATGCACACACAGAGGACATACTTTTTAGAAGTCTTCAAGCCTGTGAGATACTGTGATTGTAGGAAAAGTTATACTTTCCTTGAAATCCTAAACCATGGTTCTTACTTCTCAAGGCACTATCTGTTCTCATTCAACAATCAGAATTATTTAACAAAAAAAGACAAAAAAGTATCCCAACCATCCTAATTTAACAAAGGCCAGAAATATTTTACCTAAAATATTTCAATAAACAGTAGGGCCCCAGTGTGCCAGCTGAGTAATATCAGAGAAAGACAAGGCACAGGAAGAAGAACCCAGTATGCACCACGCAACCACCACAAAACAAAATAAGACAAAGGCATCTTCTGGCCTGCATCACAGATGGAGAGCTAGAGCTCTCAGCTTCAGCCTTTCTTGACCCTGCCCCAGTCCGAGGCTGCTAAGAAGGTGTCAAGGAATGGCCAATGCCCTAAATCGTCTGCCAAGAAAAAATACTTCAAGACCTTGCCCAGTCACCAAATGAGGGTGCTGCCTAAACAGATTATGGACACATTATGTTTGACTTGTAAATCATGGTCTTCAGTCTTTTTTAAGACAATGCATTTATACACTAATATTTTATAAAAAGATAATTATGTTTCAATAAGTCAACAACTGTAAACCCACTTCTCTTTTAAAAAATCTATTAAGGACTTATAAATCATAGAGTGCTAATAGTGCATCGAGGACAAAACACAAGACCAATGACACTCATATGAAGTATCCAGAAACAAATTTCAACCCCAGATATGCTTCTCTTACCATTTAGCTTGCTTTTGGGTAACTATTCCTATGATTAGTATGAATATATATTAAAGTAAATTCATATTCATGATACTAGCCAAAGTACAAAATTAGAAATGTAAATATACTACCAAAAATACATTCATAATATATTCTAGAATCACAAGCACATAAATTACCCATTCCCCCTTTCATATCTGCAGATATGAACTAAAATTTTACTGTAGCTTGAAGAGATATACCATTTATTTGTATATTACATCTAGTACTTAAATGTGTACTTCATAGTTCACAAAGTACTTTCATATATATTAGCCCATCCAATTCTCATAATGCTTCCGGTATGAAGCTGTTGTTTGTACCATCTTACTCAAGAGAAATCTAAGACTCAAAAGGATGACATGAGTTGCCTGAAGTCATATACCCATCAAAACACAGCTCCAGAACTGGAAAGCCAGTCTCTAGATCCCAGTGCACTGCTATCGTGCTGCATAAGTTTGCCTGCTGTCCAGTTTAATCCCTACCATTTCCCTTTCTGCATGAAAGGACGGGAGGGTCTCGGGATTTAGCTCAGCAGCACAAGCGCTTGCCCGGCAAGTGCAAGCTCATGAGTTCCATCCCCAGTACCAAAAACAAAAACAAAAAAAAGAAAGAAAGAAAGGACAGGAGGTGTCAACAAAATGCTAGATCTATCATTCTATGCTTATTTGGCTACAAAACAGCCATGACTGGTCAGAGTCTCCCCTACTCATTACTCTGAAGTACGGAACGAAAGGAAGAGACAAAAGATGGTGGCATGACCCAGTAAAGCCTTCAGGAATCTATACCTATGACAGACCAGATCAAGTAAGATTTACTTTCAGTAAAAATCCCTTCCATATTCTGATTCCTACCATACCACTATAAGCCTTACATTTGTACTCCTTGGAACGTCCTATCCTCTCCCTTTTCTCACTGATAAGTGTTCACACGTTAGTGTTTATGTGTGTTTAGTGGGAAAGTTCGCCAAAAATGAAGTCTTCTCTAGATGAATTATTCCCCAGCCAATGCCCTGTATGCAAACTAGTGGTAGCACAAAACCAAAGCTAATTCCAATGATAACTATTTCTAATCAGGAAAGGCCTGTGTCTGCACTGAGGACTAAGTGCACATAGGTCAAATGTTCTGCATGTACCTGTTTACACACTATCAATTAAGTAGTGAAATATCACACATTCAACTGACAAAATGTTTAGTTAGAGATGGCAACCACAGTAAAAACCAACTATTTCAGTGCTTTTATAAATACTATTTAAAAAAGAAAAAGACTAATAATTAATAACCCAAAAGACCAGCATGTGAAGAACAGCTTAAATTGGGAACTAGAAAAGCCTGTTACTTGTTTTTGTTTTAAGAAAATAGGACTGATGAAGGAAAGATTGTGTAAATATGATGTTTTTCAGCCATTAAAGTGGCTTTCAGAACCATAATTTGGTTTCATTTAGAGCAATTAAGACTTTGATTATACATTGAGATTAGGTTGTTTAAAATACCAAATTGTTCATCATTAATTGCGGTCTGAAAAAGAATTTCAAGTTCTCCATTTAGGTAAATAAATAACTTTATTTAGACTCATAATAATCATCTTCTTAACATGTCAACGATTGACAAACAGGTTCAGATGATTTGGGCAACTCCATAGGCAAGTCAGGTAAATGGTACCGTTTATTTGTAAAAACACCTTAAGTCCAGACTGTGAAGTGGTGGTCCCTGGAGTCAGAGAAGGTATAACCTTGACTCAGTCGCACACCATCTACATAACCTTACACCATTAATATAAGTTGGTTTCATCATTAATGAAATATAGGACACTCATTATAAGAAATTGTACACGTGTGCAATGAACTGGTGTGCAAAACTGCACAATCTCCTACTCCAAAATATCCATTATGGAGAAAGGATTTATTGCATTCCTCTATCAGTGACGTTCCACCCTGCAGATAATGGAGTAAGGAGGGGTCACTTGGATATGAAAATGGAAACTGGTTTGACCTATTACACAGTAGGGGATCATTCTTGCTCCTCTAACTTCTATACTGTGAGCAAAAGAGGCAGCCTTTGGCAGCCTCAATGATTTCTAAGATCTCTCCACTTCAGCCTCCATATCTATGACTGTGACCAACCTGATTGCTAAAGGACATCTGTCCTCAACTGATGAAGTGGGTTTTACAGAGCCCCATTACTAAGATGTAAGTTACATACTCTAACATAGGCTTACCAGGGGTATTGGATCATGAATCACAAGGTAACAGCTTGTGTCTGTCTCAAATACACTGGAAACCTGAAGAAGCAGCAGTATGAGCTAATAGCCAAACACCATCACTTTCTTAAGAGTTTATGTGAGGATTAGAAAGAATGTATATAAAACAGAAATAAGTTAGTATATATAAAGTTCCTATACATAACTGATGCTCTATATACTGTACTGATGTTGGTTGGAAATAGTTTTAAAACTCTGAAAACTGGAACTTCCAGGAGAACATGGCAGATAGATAGCAGCAGCTATGGAGGCTCTCTGAGATACTCCACTTAGAATCCAGGAATGGGGCAGTGCGAGGAGTCCTAGGCAAGGGGAGATATACCCTGCCGACCCAGGAATGAACTAAGCTAAGAGAAACCAAATGGAAATGTAATCCTGGTGCTATAACAGGAAAAAATAAAATCTCAGCGTGGAAGCTAGAAACCGCACCATTGGAAGCCACGATTTGAATTTCCTGCTGCCACTGCTGCGTTCAAATAAGCACAGCAGGGAGAGAGACGCGTGAAAACTCTGAGAGTGGGAATCGGTGAACGGAGTTGAGAATGGGAATGGCGGGGAGCCCTGCATTAACCTGCAGTGTGTGAGCAGAACAGGGACCCTTCCATAGAGTAGGAGGCTTCAGCAAAGGACATACTGGGACCAGGCAGACTTGCTGGAACAGGACACTGCAGTAACTTTAGTTGCATATTCCCCTCTCAAGCGGGATTGGTGGGGAGCGCCTGACCTGGGTGACGCCGCTAAGACCCAGTAGGCTAGCCCAAACCAGGTCCCAGCACCTGGAGGTACACCCTAGCAGTGAAGCCTTCAGTAGGTTGACCTGGAGGGGCGGGCCCAGCAAAGGCTGCCCAGGTCTGTGTCTCCCTAGTACACTGCAGTGGGTGGGAACACCTAGCCGGCGCAATTCAAACAAACTGTAACAGACAAAGAAAGAAAGTGGGCCTCCTATATACGCTTGCATGGAAGGAACAAAAAGTATGGGAAGAGGAAGCAACAAGAAAGGGTCCTCAGTCCCCAATCCTGAGAACACTGATCCAGGAAAGGTGAATGCAAAGGAGAATGAGGACAGAAAACATGCAATATCAGACATGGCACCAATAGACATAAAGCGATTATCTCTGGAGCCTCATAGATGAGTTCAAAAGAGAAGCATTTAATGAAATAAGGCAAGATATAAGTAGAAGAGTTAGAGAAATGCTAAGCACTGCCCAAGAAAAAACAGATGGTGGAATGGAAGAACAGAAAAAGGGGGAGAATTCTTTGATGGAGAAAATAGAGAAAACATAAGAATATGTGAGGAATGTTCAAAGAGATTACCAGGAAACTGAAAACTCTATCAAAAGCTGGCATAACAGCTGGAAAGAAACTAAGGATAGATTATCTGAACTGGAGGGCAGATTTGTAATGTGGGAGCATGAAATGAAAAACTTCAGAAAAATAACAAGAAAACAAACAGCAATAATACAAAGGCTAGAAGATGATAAGAGGATCTATAACTTAAGAATTAAGAACATAAAAGAAGTAGGGACACAAACAAATGGACTACAAAAGCTATTCACAGAAATAATCCAAGAGAATTTCCCTAATTTAGCAAAAGGTAAAGATACTCAGATCTATGAGGCATACAGGACCCCAGCCACCTACAACCCAAACAGAGCTAAACCCAGGCATATAATAATCAAAATTCCAGAAATCCAATATAAGAACAGAATATTAAAAGCCGTCAGAGACAAGAAACAGATCACTTACAAGGGAACACCCATCAGAATTACAGCAGACTTCTCGGCACAAACCATCAAATCACGAAGAGCATGGGGGGAAATAATTCAAGCTTTGAAAGATAATAACCTGCAGCTAAGATTGATATATCCTGCACAACTGTCCCTAGAAATTGATGGAAAAACAAAGTGCTTCCAGGATAAAGAGGAACTTGGGGAATTTGCGACCACTAATTCAACTCTACAGAGAATACTGCAGGATATTCTAAAAAAGGAAAATACCAAGATTCCAGAAACAGTGGCAGAGAGGTCACAATGAATGGAGCAGAAAGTGAAATGAAGAAGACAAACTGACAACTAATGACAGAAAAAGAGCTCAACAGTAATGAGGCAGAGAAGGTTGGATGGTAGGAACAGCTATTTTCAAGAAAACAAGACATTACAATAGCTAGTGCTGATTTAGTATCATCTTGTTTTGAAGTCCCATCAAGCTTTTATTCTTCTGTCTCCATCGGTCTTAACAGGTTGTATCTTATTGGATTTTATTATATGTGATAATATAAGCAAAAACTTTTATAGACAAGAAGATTATACAGAAACCATTGTTCATTTTCTGATAGTTGGTTCTAAGTACCCTGTAATACTGTCATTCTCTTGAATGATTTTACATTGTCTTGATATGTTTGGTGCTACAGTATACAAAGTTATACTCAAAGATTTCAAGGAAAAAGACACTATGGTAACTACTTTTATGTCAGGATATCTTGTGGTGAAACACTATTGTGCTTAAATGGTTATGCTTTGACCTGCGCTGTTTTGTTGTTATGCCCTCTTTTATCTCAACCTCCTTTTTTAAATTATTTACTTTTGGGGCTGGGGATTTAGCTCAGCGGCATAAGTGCCTGCCTTGCAAGCAGGCAGTCGTGAGTTCAATCCCCGGTACCGATAAAAAGGAAAAAGACAAAAATAAATAAATAAATAAATAAATAATTATTTACTTTTTTATCTTTTTAATTAAGGGAAAAATAAATAAAAAATAGCAGGATACATTATAGTAACCCACTTTGATTTCCTATTAACTTGATTTGAAACCCTGTATTGCCCTCACCATCTTGTTTTGACTGATTTTCCCCTATTCTGCTTTGCTTGATAGTACCAAGTTCGAAAGTATAGGCAACAACTGTGAAGACAATAAGATTCATTATGACACCCATTGTGGTTGACTATTATCTTCTTTTAAAGTCCTGTAATGTCTCCAATATTTTGGTTTTATTCTTTACTGTTTTGCTCAATTTTATTATAACTGATGATATAGGCAATTCTTTTTAAGATAGCAAGAGGCAGTATGGTAACCATTGTTGATCACCTAGTATTTTATTATTACATTATCTATTATGTCCATCCTTTTGATTTGACTGACTCTGTTCTGTTATACAATATTTGGTTTTACTCTCTTCAAAAAAGGTAATAAGAACTGTGGGATTAATAAAACCCAAAATGTGTAATTGTCATTGTACAAAAGAAAGGAAAAGAAAGTGCTCTAAAGGATATAACTGCATATTTAAGTGTATAAGATAGATAATCATATTACTGAGTTTTGTTGGATCATTGAAGAAAACTGCAGTCTCACTGCTTGAAAGTCCACTTTATATGCTTTAATTTTGTAACTTGAACAACTATTTCTAAGATAACAATATGTAATTATTAACTAGTGATTTCCTACTGTTTATTCTTTCTGAAATTCTGTATAACTTGTACCCTTTTCTGTTTTTTTTCTTTTTCTCCTTAAATAAAATTTGAAAAAAAAACTCTGAAAACTGGAGTGCCTTTGACAGAAGAACCAGTCTGATGGGCAGGTATCCTCTCATAAAATGATTTGGAAAGTGTTCCTTCCTTTACTTTTTGAAAGAATTTGTGTAGGACTGGTATTATTTTTCCCTTAAATGCTTGATATAATTCACCCATGAAGCCATTTGATCCAGTGAGAAAGTTTTTAATTACAAATTCATTTTTTAAAATTAGTATAGGGCTGTTCAAGATTTGTCTCTTCTCAGGTCAGTTTTGATAATTTGTATGTTTCAAGGAATTTGTCTGTATCACCTAAATTGTCAAATTTACAGGCATAAATTGGCTCATAGTACACATAGTATTCCCTCATAATCCTTTAAATGTCTGAAGGGTCTTCTAGTCCTGATACAGCAATTTGTTTCCTTTCTGTTTTTTTCCCAATTGAATGGGCTAGACTTTATCAATTTGGAAGGCATTCTCTAGTTCCTAAAGATCCCATTGAGTTTTATTGTCAGCCAAGATCTCTCCTCTCTAGAATCCCTGAAAAGTGTGTCATAGTTATCATTAATAAAGAGAGCTGAAATAAGGTACATGGCTGTTATCTGAGGAAAGCATTTTTGGGAAACTAATATTCACAAAATATCCCAACAGTAGGAAAGGTATGTGGCTGTTATCTGAGGAAAGCATTATTCGGAAACTAATATTCACAAAATATCCCCACAATAGGAAAGAAATGGAGCTGTTCACACTGTGAAACAGGGTTTGATATTTTAAATAACTAGAGGCTTAAGCGTAACGTTGCTGTCAAGCACAACGACCCTCAATGTTAAGGATAGTGAAGTTTCTTAAAACATTATTCTGGAATAAATATAGATTCACTGAAGTTGTTAAGACAGTAAAAGAGGTCTTAACAGTAAAAGAGGTCTTCTGGATCCTTCACCCAGATTCCCCACTGGTTATACGTTATATTCACCGTAGGAAAGTTTCAAAACCAAGAAACTGACACTGGGACAATGTGTGTGGATAGTTAAATGTCATTTTGTTACACGTGCAGATTTCCTATTAGTACAATTAAGGCACAGAACTGCGCTGATGATGTAGCTTGAGGGAAGTACATCCATTCAGATTATGTCTCAATAGTTTGTTCTATTATATGGCTGCGAATTACTTATAGTGTAGATGTACCACAGTTTATTCAACCTACTATTGGACATTTTGGTTACTTCCAGTCTATTACAAATGCAGTAGAATGAACAACTGGATATAGAATTTTTGGAAAGGTAAGTTTCCATTTCTCTGAGATAAACCTTTGGTAGTGAAATTATTGGATCTTGTAGCAATCTCAACTCCAGTTTTATAAGAAATTGCCCTAACCCTAATACAGAGATTAATATGTCTTAAGAAATTACTGGCAAAACCTTCTTACCTTCTTCAAACTGTATCCAGCATGGAAAATAATTGGAGGCAACAAAATGTTGAAAAACACCTCTGGGTCAAATGTTACCTAGAAGTTTAAAAAGAGAAAAGTAATTTTTAGTACAATGCTGTATTTCTTTAGTATTGGAAGTCATTGGTTAAGACTTAAATATCTGTGGAAAATAAAACCAATCTGACAAAACACTGACTCAATCCAAAAGAGAAGCCATAATTTCCCTGTAGACTGGTATGTTCTTCTCACATTACCTCTGATCTATGATCTTGGCATGGTGGTTTAATTCATTTTTAAGACTTTGAGAACTCACAAAAAGCTACTAACCAATGTTTTCAATAAGAAATAGAAACATCTCGATTTTTATTACACCTTTATAAAGGCTTAAAGGCAACCAAATTCTGACATGCTTCTTTATTAACTTCTTGGACCTTCTCACATGATACATAATATTTTATAGACGCTTTAATGGTTGACACACTGTGCCAAATTGAGGTCAGAAGTTGAAGTAAGTGATTCATCAGGGGGACAGAGCCCTTACTTTGTAACATCCTCAGCCTGTACAAGAGAAGGGCACAGAGAAGGCGTGAGTGCTACACTCACCCAAGTGATGTAGCCTGCATACAATAAAAGGGAAATGAAGGACTGATTGCTGGTTCTTTCAAAGAACTGTAGTCTTCACCTTCAGCTTAGATATCGTTATCTAACTTCTGGCACAGACTGTTTGGCTTCTTAAGTCTTCAGGTAGAGACTTCAGCCTGAATCACAGATTCTTCAGTGAGCCATCACAGCCCTATCAGCCTCCCGATACAGACTTGCACAGGACACTGCAGTGAGTTCCAAATCTTGGGCTGGACCCTTCAGCCTCCAGTGTGCAGACACCCTCTGCATGCTTCCTCATCTGACTCTGTGGCTGACCATCATAAGCCGATCTTGTCATTTCTTATACATTTGTATATCTGATGTTATATGTTTCTCTAGTAAACCCTGACTGATACACATATTTCTGAATTTGAGTGTCTTTAAGTGAGCAGCATTCTTGATTCTTGATGTGGCCTACATCAAAGTTAACAGTGAGTCTAGTGATTTTGTGACTGTCACCATAAATTCAGTAACTCTAAAGAGACTAAAATTATCTGTAGGGTTGGTACAAAGAAACAACTCTTAAACTTCTAGACAGCAAAATCTTATCCCACCAAGAGGAGAATTAGGCATTTTATAAACACGCTAATCTTTTTTTAAAACAAATTTGTTCATGTGGGTAGACAAACTGGCTTTTATTTCAGTTAATTATCTCAAATCTCAATTTTTTCCTTGTCATTATTTATCTATTTTGGTTAAGACAAAGTCTTGCTGTATATTCTAGACTGATCTTAAACTCACTCCTCCACTCTAATTATTAAAATTTAGCTGTTTTTCTTTGGAAATTTGAGGTGTTCATCAGCCTAGTTAAAAAAATAATAGTTCTTTCAAATTATGTTTTATTCTATCTTTTTGGTAAAGGTAAGAGTAGCCTGAACATCAGTGAATGTCAGAATGAGTAGGAGGCTTAGATCTCCAAAATTAAAGTGAACCAAAAACAAATAACTAAGGGGGAGATGGGGACTCACAGAAATAAAAAAGTTCAAAGTGTTGGTTATTATGCATAAGACGAGGCAAGCTGTGTTTGTTGGCTGGTAATTATCAGAATTCTGTCTTCCCATTTAACCTTAGAGACTGAAATCTTACTCTTTTGATGATTATGCACCTGAGAATGGATTGGGATCATTTCACCTTTTCCCCCTGTTCTACCCAATTCAATCTGAAGAATTCAAGGTGCCATTTCAAAATAGCCATTAATGTGGCTTTTACATCGGGTCTCTCACAGTTGCATTTAATTTTACAACATTTACGGAAATCCCATTCCTTATTAGGAAGTGCTGGGAGTAAAGGCCACACACTAGTATTGCCATTGGACACCTCTCTGTACTCTACCCCTTTTGCCTACCAGTCTTCACACACATTAACCTCGTTTTACATGTTAAAAGGCGCTCTACAATCTGGGTTTCCCAGATAACTGTCCTGAAGTCTTCTTGTTGATAAACGCTGGTCTATACAGTAATGGAATATATGTCAATAAATACAGATCTTGTTTATTCTGGAAATTACCCACATGAGAAAATACAAAACCTTTTTTCTTGCAGAACATTTTTGCTGCCTCCACACCAAAAAAAAACATTTTTAGACTCAAATTGTAACACAAAAAGCCCTTCTTCCCTTGAAGGTCCATTAGGCATTTGTCATTAATCATAATGACAGTACACACTCAAATATTATTTGTATAATATGGCTAAAGAAGCATAAAGAACTAAGAATTGTACTTCTGAATACTAAATAAGCTAAAAGTGAAATCAATAATATTTTAAAAAAGAAATAATCTCTAATCTATAACATGGGAAAAATAGTAAAGAAGAGATGGTGGTAAGACAAATGAGGTGGGGACATGCAAACCCACTGCACAATCGGTAGTTCACATTAGCCACAGATCCTAAGAAGCTTAAGAAGGTCACAAGCTAAAAGTCTCCAATTAAAAATCTGTTTTCTTCTCATGATGGCCCAAAATCTTTCTATCAAAACTTAGAATTAGGAATGTTACTGATATTCCAGGATTTTGGAAGGATTTTTCTCCACACAATCAAAATAGAGTCATGGAATCAACAACCATACCACTGAGAACTATGTACCATCTCACCTTCCGCAGCATGTCATTCTGCTCTACACTGTTGACCTTGCCAGGGCTGATTTCTCCTTTCAGAGTGTATTCAAAGAACTTCCCACTGACATTCACTAGTAAGGTGCTGAAGGCCCTGTCTTCCTGAGTACAGCTGAGTGATTTGTCACGGCCACTGGTGGCAGGAGTACCATACCTCAAGATCACCCCAACGATGAGCCCTGAAATATAGCAAGGAAAAAAAATCAGACCTGTGGAAGGATAGAATATGGAAATAATGACACTGTTATTTTCAAAGATTATGAGATGCAAAGGAAATCATACAAGCCAGGTAGATGCTGTGTATTTAGCAGCAACTCCACAGTCCTTTAGAAAGGGTTGAGCATCACCTATTCTGGTCTCATTTGAGACCCTTGGTCATCAGAAAGACAAGATGGAAAGGTACCTCTGGCAGTTATTATGTCACTCTCAGTACTTTTAACACAAAATCATGTCTTATTTCTGGGCTTTTGGTGGAGGTAAAAGAAATGATGAGCAGTAAAGTTTTTTTCTGCTTAGGACAGCACAAGGAGGAACCGCTGAGCCCTTGATTTTCCCCAAAAGCAAACCTCATGCCAGTCTTAATATCATCTTCTAGCAAGGCCAGGCTGCTGGAACTCTGGTGGCTATAAATGCAGCTTGCTTTGCTACACACTGGGGCAGGGTGGGGAATGATTTTGCCTAGGTCACTTGAAGCACTGGGTATCACAGAGAAAGTAATTATACCCCTTGGGAAGCTAAATGCAGCAGTGTAAGTTTGAGCAGTCATTATTCAGAGCTGGATAGCTGGCTTCTTGGGGATGTGGCTATGAAACAGCTAAGATAATCAGCTGCAAGTCTTTAAGTCTCATTTCCTACTTAATAGGGTTTTCCAATTAGAGGAAAATAAAAACAGCAAAATTGTGTATAAGCATTCAATTCCATGAATGAGGAAGGAGTGTCAATTCCCTGTCCTGAACAAGAATCACAGATGCCTAAGCAAAAGTGACTAAAATGGGGAAGAAAAAACAAAAGGCATAAGTGATTACCAGACACATGTATAATTATCTCTTAGGAAAATTTTAGACTTCTCCCTAAATTCACTTCTTTGCTAGCAACATAAAAAGCATAGTGAAAAAGCTTTCCCAGCTCACTGACCATTAATGGAGAAAATTATATCTGAAAAAGAACAATGTTTACTATATTCTAAATGCTATGGTTTGGATCTTAAATGTTCTTCAAAGGCCCAGTAGCACCCCAGCTTGATGCTACTGGGAGACAGTGGAAGCCTTCAAGAGATGGGGCCTACTGGGACATCTTAGCCAATAGAGGTGTGCCCTTTAAAGGAGAGACTACAGCCTCTTCCTCTTCCTTTTCATCATTCCTGACACTGAGCTAAACAGTTTCACTTTACCATGCACTCCCCCATGATGTGCTGCCAAGTTAATTATCTCAGGTATTGTTACAGCAACAGCTAACACACTATATATAATGTTCTATAAGATCATCAAGATATATGAGAATTCACTAGACACTGAATAGCAAATCATATATAAAAATAGTTAAGCACAAATGTGTCTGTGGTACATTATTATTATCATAGACCTATATTAACGGATATAATTTTTTACTTTTAAGAAACTATCAAGTCTTAAAAGATCTTTTACAAATTTAAAACGAGATTCTTAAGAGCCTCAACCTGACTATATAAGAAACAATTTTTTAAAAGAAGTTTAAAGTAAAAAAAAAAAAAGAATTTTAAGGTGTATGAGAAAAATTAGACTTTTTATAAAATCACATTTGTCATTACCAAAAAGAGATGGCTTTGGGGAAAAATAAAAGTCACATAATGCAGATGGCTCTAGTTGTCCTGGTAAATGGAATAAACACTTACGGTTTTTAGCTTCAAACTTTGTTCAGGCTGTTTAGAATTACACCTTACTCTCTACCGACTTATTCAACTGTGCTCTTAGCAGCCTCAGTTACAAAAGGGAAACTGGCACTAGACTAAGCTTCCTTCTTTGATTACCCTCTGGGGTTTTTAAGCCCCATGTGACTCATGATTATATTCTTTCCTCATAGTACCAATTTTGGAATGGGCACATACATTAACTGTATATAGGCTTTTCTTGTTTTGGGTTATGTCTTTTAAAAATTAGAAAAGTCAGCAATTGTATACCATCAACATAATATGCCGATAGTTGTGAAGTGAGTTTTGCATACCAAAAAGTTTAAACACTCGAATTTTTGCACCTTTGAACTCACCATTGTGTCTTTAGCTACCTCAAATGTCAAAGGAATTTCATTCATATTTACTTTCCATAAAAGCTTATGGATTGTGAAATCAGTGATTCTCTCTTCATTAGCTGACATTTTCTGGGCTATGTTTTTCTGGCCTACATACATAGTTATTTCTCTTTCTGGCCCGCACACATGATTATTTCTCTTTACAATGTAGAACACTATGCTGTTGACATGGACATTGATATATTAAAATTCATTCAAGAAGAAAACATTCAAAATATTTTTTGTTTATTTTTTTAATTTTTTAAAAAAGATTAAGATAAAAGAGGACATAACAACACAGGTCAGAACAGAACAATTTAAGCAACATAGTGTTTCACCACAAGACAACCCGACATAACAGTAGTTACCATAGTGTCTCTTTCCTTGAAATATTTGAGTGTAACTTCGTATACTATAGCATCAAACATATGAAGACAGTGTGAAACCACTCAAGAGAATGAAAGTATTACAGGATATTCAGAACCAACTAACAAAAACAAACATGGTTACTATATTATCTCCTTGTCTATAAAAAATTTTGTTTATACTATCACATATAATAAAATCCAATAAGATACAACATGATAAAACTGATGTGTTGCTTATTTTAAATATGCAATGAAATATTTACTATTTTTTTAACTTTTTTTTAACGTTTTATCGGTACCAGGGATCTAACTCACGACCACCTGCTTACAAGGCAGGTGCTTATGCCACTGAGCTAAATCCCCAGCCCCTGAAATATTTACTATTTAAAAACAATTTTATTGTGGTACAATTTATACCCCATAAAATTCATCCATTTTTATGTATAACTCGATTATTTTTAGTATATTCACAGAGCTGTGGAATTATCACCACAATCTGATTTTGGAACATTCTCATTTGTAGTCACTACCTGATTCTTACTCCCATCCCCAGGCCATTATTAATCTAATTTCTATCTCTATAAATTTACCTTCTCTAAACATTTTATATAAATGGTATCATACAATATGTAGTCTTGGTACCTGGCTTCTTTCACTGAGCATAGTACTTTCAAAGTTCATTTATGTTGCAGGCACATATCAGTACTTTATTCTTTTTTGTTGCTGCGCAGTAATTCACTATCATATTTTATTTGTCTACTGTATTAGTTACTTTCTTGTTACTGGGACAAAATATCTGCTACCCATGGGTTAAAGAAGAAATAGTTTATTTCAGCTTACAGCTTGTAGAGGTTTCAGTCCATAGTTGGCTGGCTCCAAGGTAGAGCAGCATGGTAGAGGGCATTGCAGAGGAAAAATAGTTCATAGCAGAGCAGGCAGGAGGCAGCAAGCAGCAAGCAGCAGGAGTACAGCAAAGCAAGCCTCCTTTTCCTTTTTATACCATCCAGACTACAAGCCTTTTGGGTGATGCCACTCATAACCAGGTTGGGTTGTACCGTTATCCACAGCCAGAACTATGTTAATTCCAATCAGTGGACTAATTTAACATCACACACCTTTAATCCTAGTAACACATGCCCTACATCCATCCACTGATGAGCACAGCTTTGGAAGGATATCTAGAGATAAGCTGTAACATCCACTTACCAAGTGACAAATATTTACATTGTCACCCCTTTTGTTATTGTACATAATGCTGCTGTTTGTATGGATATGTGTTTTCATTTCTCTAGGATAGACACCTAAGAGTAAAACTGCTATAACAGGGCAAATCTATACTTAATATTTTAAAAACTGCTGAACTGTTTCTCATTTAAATACCCACTGTTCTTAACAAGATTCAGTAGATTTCCTTTTAAGAATACTCCCACTGAAAAAGAACCTGGCAAGCTGTTCCTCAATTTATTATTTGACAGTTGATCTATTTGAATAAACTTTATATTGTTATTTTTGACAATTCCTTCCAGTTTTACTGCTATATAGTACGGAAAGAGATTGTTGAGCTCCCTCTCACATGACCATTTTGGAAGTCCTGCCATGAGTCACTCACTCTTTCCACCTGCACAAGCATGAACAACAGAATTCCTCCATGTTTGTTAATTTGCTATGTTTCATACCATTTTTTACCTGAAAATGTTATTTGGTTTCATATATTGAAGTAAATTCCTAACACATTATTTGTTATTTTATACCAATTTTGATGATGTGCTTATTTCACCTAGTAATAACTAGGCAGCATAAAAGAGAATTTGGTGGGTTCAGCAACAGAAGTTGTGGGTATGTAATTTCACTTTCCACCTAGCCACAATCCAGAGCAAGGTATCTTTCTGCTGTTAATTTCTAGTACTGATCTTTTGTAACAGTGGAGTAAGAACATGCTGTGTCAAACCCCCTTATAAACTGTCAACTGTTGCACAGATGCTGGTTTTTGTGAGTTCTTTAGAAGAGTTATTTTTCCTTGCATTAATTTGATTGCTACAAAAATAGAGCATATTAGGAAGACAAGTGATATGTGGGCTGGAGTAAGGCACAAAAAAATACACCTAGAAAAGTAGGTACATGACTCCTTCTTGCTGAAGTTTTCCCTGCCCAGTAGAGGAACAGAATGCTATAACATACTTATTTGCCTCTCTAGCAGCTTCCTAGGTACCAAAACAAATGAGTGTTTGTGCCATAACTTACACATTATAACAATAAAGCAAGACAGTGGTATGATGTACCATCACACTATGCTATAGTCCTGTAAACAAACAGTAAGCAACTTTACTATGTGAATTTCCCAAAATAAATGAAAAAATGTTCTCTATATAAAAATTCAAAAATTGTAAGAAACACAAGTTCCATGAAGTCAATACTTTTACTACTAAAAATTTATACTTAAATGGGAAATAAATAATTAGGCTTAACCTGATGTAAGAAACACAAGCCACTGATTTTATTGCTCAATTTCTTTGATTTATTCAGGTGACTTAATTCAGGTGACCTGCGTT